TGCATATCAGTGTATGTGTGTATGTGTGTGTCCAGAGTTGAGCTGAGACAGTGTCCTTCGCCCTGCTAGGCTAAGTAAACAGTCTTCCAGCCAACCCAGGTGGCCTTGCATAGAGTGGGAAGAACAGTCTAAACACAGTCGTTATCAGGGTGTTGTTCCACGCTCCGTCTGCTTTAGTGCAGCTGCCGTACCATACTGTGATGCAGTATGTCAGCAGGCTCTCAATGGATGAGCGGTAGAAAGTCAGCAGACAGGTTGGTGTTCAGCTTGTGTCTTCGTGAGGACTCTCAGGAATGTAGCAGCGCTGTTGGCCTTCTTGACGACCGCTGTGATGTTGTCTGTCCAGGAGATGTCAGCGAGATGAGGACACCAAAGAACCGAGAAGGTGTGGACCCTCTCCACACAGTCCCTATCGCTCGTCTCTGTTATGCTCATGATTTCGCGTGCAGTATGTCTGCCTTGTTGTTTTTCTGTTTTTGTCTTTCCCAGTTCTGCATGTGAGTTGACTTTCCTATGAAGGCTTGTAAAAAGTCAACCTTGGACTTGAGGGCAATGTTGCAGGTAAGGAGTTCATAGCTTCCTGAAGACTCTGAACGATCCCATGCCAATTTTCTGGCTTTAATCTATGTACTGGGGCCATCTCCTTAAGTGCGTTATCATGTGCTTATGTTCCCTCACCCTGTATACATCTTGGTCTCCAGAAGGAGTTGTCATCGGAGCTTCCCTGGTTCGCTTCGCGCTTCTAACCAACATGAATCACCCACTGACCTTCTACCTCTGTTCTACACACACACTGATAGCTATTTGTCATGTCCACTAAGCACTGCTTTTTACAAGCCCGTCGACTTAGGCTGTCGCTGAACCAGTTTTACGATAGCGTCTTCTATATGCTTTATATTTTCTTCCAATATTTTCGCATAGTCTGAATATCGATATTGGTGCTTTTTTACGGTCATTAGCGGTGAGTATCTCTATATACAAATATACAGCACAACTGGCGAGAGTTCTGGGTTTCCTCCTTTAGAACTGGATAAGTGGCATATCCAGGTAAGACGTCCTCTAGACTACGCGGTAACTGCAGCAACCCTAGTCCTATATATGCCAGGATTGACATGCAACTTCCATCCGCTCTTTGACACCGCGATGTCTGAGAGTCGTTTAAGCTCCAATGGCTTCACAAGTGTACCTCTACTC